ACGGTCACCTTGTTTAGTACCAAGGTTTCCGTACTTTGTTGTTGTGTACTTGATCTTCAGCTTTGCTTGCAAATGAAAGAGAATTAGAACTGTCAATCATTTGCAAGCAATACTTGTTGAAATATACTCAAGTTTGCCAATTTTTTGCATTAAGCTCGTCAAACTCGAAGAAAACACACATTGTTGAATAGCTCGAGAGTTGAGATTACTGTCGACAAACATACAAAGGAATGCAATCCTCGCCAAAGGTGGGAAATGACACTTTTAACTGCAAACTTAAACGAAGCCATTTTTAATCCTCTAACTTGGGCCTGTTGAGATAATTTTTAGTGCAACAATATTTTAATCAAGAATAAGCAATACAAGTCCTTTCCACAATATCCAGTTTCACGGTGAGACGGAAAATTTTTGGAGATCTTACAATTTAACAAGATAGGAGAGTAGCTCCATGGCGCTTTCGACCTCAGAGCAAAAATATTTCTCTGCAGTAACAGCACAAATATGGCAGTGTTTAGTTCTCTCTAGGTAATCAGCAGCAAGAAGAGAAACTTCAATAAATCAAATATCGGTGGGAATTCATTCTATGGGAGGTAAGGCCCAGCCTTAGGTGGTGGCTGCTAGGCGAACGTATTTTCCATCAACAACAAATCTAGAGCTTGAATTGACCTGCAGGAAATCGGAAAAAAGATTTTCATGAAAGACCATAGCAATTAAAAGCAACCTAAAATTTGTCAAATGGAGAAAAAGAATTACTTTCTTCTCGAGCATTTCAGACACCCGGCTTTTGTCTTCTGCGGAACCAGATTCCTCGAGAGACTTCAGGACCAATTTCCTAAGTTTTTTAAATTTCAGACGGACATCTGGATTCTGCAATCATTCAAAAGAAGAGATTTATGACATACATATATGGACATTGGGTGGTGCTAGGAGTACAGGACTAAACTTACAGGCACATTACAGGAATTTAAAATCTGGTGATGTGGCAGTTGAAAAAAGGGGACGTGGCAGTTGAAAAAAAAAAAGGGGAAAATGAAATAAAGGAAAAAGA